GATCCTGTTTACTTAGTACATTTTTGAGATATAGCAATACCGGTGATGATCACCAGTGGTGGTAAATAGCAAAATTCTAATATTAAATATAAAGTATATATTCAATAAGTAGTTATAATGAATTAGATATACATTTTTATAGGTTTTAGCAGTTTGGCGTGACATTATGTAGCTAACCATTATATACTTATAAGAAAAATATTATTATTTTGCTGCTCTTAAAAAATTTTTCATAGCGAACAGTAAAAAATTTATGCTGTTCACAAACTTATAATTGTGTTCTCATAAGAACTCCAAGAACACAAATTTCGAACACTGGTTATAAGTATTAGGTATAGAGGGTATGTTAGTTAGAAGTTTGGATAATGCAAGTTGTTAAAATTGTATAGGTTGGAGTTGAGGTCTTGAGCTATAATAAGAGATTTAAATATCTAAGTAGAGTTGTTTATTAATATGAAGAAGTAATTGTATACAGGCTGTGCTAGCTATTTGGTTAGAGTAGTAAAGTTACATATTGTATATATAATATTAAGTGAGACCAAATTAGAAAGTATAAAAAAATAAAAAGTTAATTAGTAAAGTCATATATTAACAGGCTATTAAGGTTAACAATTTTGTTGCGTTGAAGATTAATTTAAAATAAAAAAACTTGAAGCTTGTTAGCAATTAGAGTTTGTTGTAGAAAGTTTTTAATAAGTGAGTAAAGTTGGTTAGAAGATGAACACAAAGCCTAGTGTAATGAGGTACTTGCTTGTTAACATATATAGCAAGTATTTGAGTAAAGAAGATTTTTTTATGCAGTATATAAGGTATAGGAAGTTTATCAGTAAGAATTTTGATTCTAAATATTCTAAAAATAGAGAACTAGAAGTTGTAGACAAAGTTAGAGATCTTTAGAATGTTATTGAGATAAAGCAGAGTTGCATTCTATTTATATGCTAAGAGATTTGTATCCAAGGCTAGAAACAGTTTTGTAATAACCAAAAGGCAAAAATCTTCTCATAGCATATAGTTTAAATACTGTAGTTTGAGAGAGAATTTTCTAAATAAAGAGTATATTAAGAGTTGTAGATATTGTAAGAATTAAATATAAAAGATAGTGTGTTAAAATAATTGCAAGCTAGTTTGTCTGCTTTATTATTAAATATATTGTTTTAAGTTGATTTTATTTTATAAAAAATAATTTAAGATTATAAGATATGATAAAGTTAAAAAGTGTGTTTTATAAGAACTATTATAGTATATTTAAAGAATTGAGACTATTTATTTGTTAGATTAGACTATCATATTTAGATATAACAAATTGGAAGTCTATAAAGATTTGAATATTATAGTTTCTAGGTGCAATATATATAGCAAACAAGATTGCAAGTAGTTTGGCCTTAAAAGAGCATATCTAAAATAAAATTTGTGCTTGAAAAGTGCAAAGAATATTGTTATTATCAATTTGTAATTAGCTAATTTCTATAGAGCAATAGAGATTTTTAGATTGAATAACAGATTTATCAATATAAAATATAAGATTAGTAAAGAACTAGTTGTTATAGAGATATTATTAATATAAAAGAAAGAAAAAATTTGAGAAGTTTGTATAATAAGATTAGAGATATAAGAATGAAAATAACTTTAAGTTGTTTGATTGAATAGTAAAGTCAAGAGGATTTGCATTGAAGTTAATTAATTTTTTTAAATAAAATTTGCCTAGAAATTTAGTAGCATGGCTAGTTGAAATAAAGATAGTATACTTGTTGTTAATAAGATTAAAATTAAGAAGATAGTTAGGGTATGGTTTTAATATTATATAAGATATTGGATATAGTAATAAGAAATCAGTTATAATATTGTATTGCTAGTAATAAATCAGTATTAGGCTAGAGTTTGTAAATTAGTAGCAGGCATTGCTAATAATAGCTTGGTTATTAAGTATTGTAATAAGCTAAAGTTTAAAGTACTTTGGGAAAGAACTAATATTATGATTATAATAGTTGGCTAGTAGCAGGTTTATTTGGAAAGAGATAATATAATTGTAGAGAGAGCTTATAATAAAATTTTTAAGTAATTTAAACCACTATAAAATTTTGCTTTTGGATATTTTGTTAAGTTTTAGAGAGATATGTTTCTAATCAAAAAGACAGAAGTAGTTAGCTAGTCAAGAAAAAAAATATAATGATACTGTAATTGTTTTTTAAATATAGTCTCAGATATTACCAAATTTGGATGATGCAGATCACACCCTTTTTTGTACAATTAGAAAATTTTTCATACTTCTATTTAAGTCCATAGCTATTCTATACTAATCTATGGAGCTAAATTTACACCAATCATCATTTGTTTTCTGATTTAGTAAACAACTACCTTATTAAGCCCCTGGGATCATAATGGATCCCTAGACTATGTATCTATAAGACCATTTATATAAGAATTAATTCAAAAATTTATTATTAATGTACGCATGATCCTGCTACTAACTGTATTAATATATAAATCGATTCTAGAGTATTCTTTACTATATTGTAAATTGATTTCCATATTTGGTAATATCTGAGACTGAAATATAGTATAGTTGAGATGTGATACCAGAATAGATTCAAGAGTAACAGATCCTGCATACATCTATGTGCCCACTACTAAATTTAGATTTGTATGATAAATAGGGAATTTGTTGATTTAAATTCTACTTACTTGTTAACAAAAGCTTTAATAGCCAAACTCTTTAGCTTTATTATGTTAAAGTTAAACATAATGAGCTTTTTTAATACATTGTTTTAAGTTCTATAGATTTATAATAACTTTTTATTGTTCAAATTGCTAGTTCGTTATATTAAAAGATATATAAGTACTTTATACATTACTTATATGTTTAGTTTGAATAAACTTTACAATTAAATAAATAAAATTTCAAATCTCCAAATGTTTTTTATACTTTAAAATTGGTGCCCTATTTTTATCCTACTAATGTTTATATGAAATTATTTGAATCATGATATGTATACATAAAAGTGTTTAGGAATCCTAATATGTCATATTTTATTTATCAAATTATAAGTCTCTATTTTTGTGAATTATTATTATTCATTATTATTAAGTTTGGATAAATTAACTAAGGTACCAAACTGTATACTATGCTGCTAATCTTTGACTACATCAAATGAACGATAAAAAAAAATTAAATTGAAATATTATAAGTTAGGTTTATTATTATTTTATTTAGTCTGAATGCTTAAAAATCAATTTTAAATATTTCCAAATGATAATATTATAAAGATTCTTTGAAAAACATAGTAAAGTCTTTCAAATGCACTATTACACTATGGTAATAAAGATAGTAAATAACTGCTAAAGATAATTTGTACTCCTAATACTCATAATGCCACAATTAATAAACTAAAATATAAACTTACCCATTAAATTTTTTTATTAATATATAAAGAATTATAAATTAATTAATGTAGCTAGCAACTTACATTACATGCAGGTGACTGGAATATTATATTATGGGTCGAACCTATAAATGGCAGCTTTTAAATATTTAGTTAATAAAAAAAAGTTACAAAATTAGCTATATAGTGAGTATAATAATTGCAGTTAGATATATGCAAAACATACACGCAATTGTGATATAATTTTGTTTGACAGATCCAATTTCCTGCACAATAGCCAGAGATGATTTTAAGCAGTAATATTTGTTTATTTGTAAAAATAAAAATAACAAATATCACTGTAAAAAATTATCATCTCTAGCAATAACAAATAGCAAATATTAACTCAAACAAATATTAATTATTAATCATACAGGTTGTATTGCTTGACACAAGAATGGGGATTAATATTTTTTTAAAGAGAAGGAAAAAGTAGTAGAGTGTTAGAGAATAAGAAATTTAATGCAATAATAGTTCAAAATTTCCTACACTATAAGAAAAATATAAGAAAATACTTTAGTTAAGTATTAGATATTAATATTTTAATATGTAATATAACAAAACCCACTAAAGTAAATTGTCATAAAGAATCTCATGTATTTTATCTAGTTTAAAGAAAGAAAAAACAGAACTACAGTGTTAGACGACAATGAATTAAGAATAGAATTAAACTTATCACAATGATTGTTTAAAGCTTTATGTACTATAAAAAAAAATTAGATTAGAAATTAAATGTAAAAAATTGAATATATAGAGAGGCATTTTATCTTTATTATTAAAATAATAAAATCATACAAATATTTTTGAGCTAGATTTCTCAAATTATTTTAATGCTTTAAAAAACAATTATTCTATTTAAACCTATTTTATTATTGTTAAAAAAGAGAAAAAATGTCTGATAAATCAGATAAAAACCCATATAGCTTGTCCAAGTTTAGTAGTTCTAAATCAAGAGTAAACTTAGATAACCAATGTAAATTTGAAAGCTTCACTATAAATAATATAATAAATAGCATTGTTAAATATGACAATCAGTTATTATTCCAAACTAATAATAATATTGAATCTAAATAACAAAAAGATGTTGAATCTGAACTCGAAGTCTTAGATGATTTTTAAGATTATGAGGCCAAATTGCAAGAATTTGAAATAGAATTGTATGATGAGTCTGAGCTTGAATCAGAATTTCATAGCATAGATATAAATGAGTATGTTAAAATTTATACTCACTTTAGGTTAAAAACATATAAAGAGCAGATCAAGAATATTCTTTCAAATACTGCAGGAGCTCATTATATTTATAGAGATAATCATATAACTTCAAAGTATAAATTAAATAAAAGATATTTTTGTCACTATTATGGAAAGCCAAAGTCAACAGCTAGAACAATATAATAACTACCAAATCATTATCTGACCATAGCTATCTCTATCCAGTTCAGAAGCCATCAAAAAAAGTAGGCTATGAATCTTATATACATGTATTAAAGTATCATGATAAAGAAAATAATAATATTAATATTATTCACTACATGCTACACAATGGGCATAATTCAGGTAGTCCTGAAGATCTATATTATTTTAATATATCTCAGAAGGCAAGAGAATAGATTTATGAAAAAGCAAAAGATGGAATAAAACCTTCACAAATTGTTTCTATGTTTTACCAATGTATTAATCAAATATATAATTCTAAAGCCCTAGAATTTTTACTTTTAATACAAAAAAGAAATCTATATATCACTTACATTGATGTATAATATAGTTAGTGAGGAGATGAAAGAAGTAATCTTTCTAGGAAATCAAAAAGAAGGTTATAGTGAGAGTATATCAGTTAAAGAATGAATTATCATATCAAAAGAAGATAAATCTTATATATGCGATAATCCAGACTGGGGTTTGTCTTTGGGTTTATATGTAGTTTCCAAACAGAGTTCTAAAAGAAAATAGTAGAATCAAAGAGTGTACAATCAGTTTGCATTGATGGCACTTATGAGATAACTTCATATAAGACAAATCTTTTTACTTTGCTTGTTCAAGTTAATGATAGTAGTCAAGGTGTATCTATAGCTTATTTAATATCTAAAAAGAAAGAAAAGAAATATTAATTTATTGGCTTAAAGCCATTAAAAAACAAAATAAAAATTAGAAGCCTATGCTTTTCTTACTGATTGTGATAATGCATAACAAGATGCAATTAACGAAGTTTATTCCAAAGCCACAATTCTATTATACCAATAGCATGTTAAGCATGCCTGGCAAAAAAATAAAAATAAAATTAATAGTGATGCTAAGTATTTTAAGCCTCAAGAAAAAAATAAAAATAGTAGTAATGTTTTTAAATAGTTAGAAAAACAAGTAGTACAAAAAATAGCTTTAGATGAGCTTAGTAATATAATGCGAATTCATGATGCTAGCCAGGTACAAAGCAAATTCAATGAATATTTGAAACAATGATCAAAATTTAATAAAATAAAATAGGTTGAATATATTAGAAAAGAATATCTGAACAATTGCAAAAAATAGATTAATGTATACTGATTGTATGAATATCAAGAAATAAATATAACTAATTTCATTAAAGCCTGGCACAAAAAATTAAAATATATTTATCTTGGAGCTATACAAAATCACTAAATTGATACATTAATATAGACTTTAAGAAATGCTTTGAAAGATACTAAGTTTGAATGTGAAGCTATTTAGCTAATGATTAGAAGAATGAAACCTAGACAAAGGAAACAAAGACAATACAAATTTGCTAATTCAAACTAGATATCTTTAAGTTTTCTAGTGACTGGCACTACTTAGTAAAATTATTAAAAGATAGATATTATAAGATTAGTATTAAGGATAATATGCAACAACAAAATAAAAAAATAAAACCTGCACACTTTGAATGCATATGTATAGACTTTAAATTCTATGGAATGGTATGCAACCATATTTTTGCTATATACCAAAAATATTATTTAGCACTAATTCCACACAACATTTCTGATAGAATGGAAAAAGAACCAGAAAAGATTTATAATATTACCTTCAATAACTAGATTGAGACAATTAAAAAAGTTTAGACTAGCACAATCAAGAAGACCAAAATCACTTAAATAAGGCTGATCTGGAATCAATTGTTGAAGCAGAAATGAAAAGAAAATCTAATACTTCTTTGTATGCCAATTTCAATATTCTGACTTTTGATATAAAAAGAACTTAAAAAACAAATATGTTAGAACTGTTAATTAAAGTTTTTGTTACTAGTAATAAATAAATAATTTATAATACTTGCTTTATAAAAGAACTATGTATTATTAGTTATAATTTCTCTTGCTGTAAAAATGTGTCAAAAACTATTGTTGTCTATGCCAA